TTTTTGGGTTTAGGGTTTAGGTTGGTTTACAATGGATTCCATCTGGTACCATCGATCCGGTCCATCCACTGGCTCGACCGACAACCTTCGTGCCACATTGTTCACATTGTCCAATTAACACTTTGTATAGATTTTTTGGGTAAAAAATGAACGAAATAATGCAACTAATCTGAACGTAACGTTTGGCATGTATCAAACCAAGTAGCCACTATTCCTCAAAAAAACCAGTTAGCCCCTAATTGCGCCAAACATATCTCATAATTACCAACGAAAATGGGTTGACAATTATTTCTGGAAATTCTTGGAAGGAATTTATTGCTCTTCCTTTTTTAGAGAACAATAAGTTACAAATTTGCTAACATAACAATAAGCTATTTCCTCTTTGCTAAATTTTATTTTGGAAACAAGAAATCAGTTTTCAATTTTATTTGTCCTTTCCAATAGATTTCAAATGAGCTTTTCCTTGGTCTGGTCATACAAGGCATTAAGCACACATGACATTGCTTGTACAGAATCTGACTGAAAAAATTTGTTAACAACTTCTAACGACTGATGATCAACAAGTAAAAAAATCCCACAACAATTATTGAAAAATAAAATCCCGCGGCCATCAGATTTGCGTGCTTCTTCAGATCGATCAACTGCCTTAAGTTCTTTTTGATCTTCTTCAATTCCACCTTGAGTTCCGCATCCGCCACCATCGGAGGAACATTGGCATAGCCCTTATTATCCACCGCCGATGGCAGATCTAGCTCTAGGGTTGCCCCGTGCCTCAAATCAATTAAGCCATCCGTTTGAAGCCTCTCAACGTATTCATCCAGCCACTAAAAATGCTTGCATGTTTTCAGCTTTTGAAAAAGGGAAGGGAAACCCTAAATCCCAATTCCGAGGAAATAAAAATAAATCTGGGGTCAGAATTCATAGCAAAAAGACACAACAAAACATAGATTTGACCTTCCCCGCTTCTGGTTTGCTCTTGCATTTCACAAATTCCCGCCCATGGTTTCCATTCTTCTCCGATATGGTTGTCAAACGCTTCAGTGGCATGGTGCGTGGGCAGTCGGGGCTTCTGGTCATCGGTAGTGAACCATACCGCGGCCATGATGACGGAGAGGCCGAACTGGACATGGACATCTCTCGTCTCTCACCATCCGCCGGAGAAGAATAACAATTTGGTGGGGCAAGGGAAAGGGAGGCAATGGTGGGCCACGGGTTGGCACGGGCATGGCGATGGCTCGGGCTTCTGTGATATGTGGTTGGACCCGCGGTCAGTGCACAAGTTTTGGAAGCCCCCAAAAGATCGCGCTCGTTAAAAAAAACTTGCATGGAAGCGCATTACTTCAAAATAACTAATTAACCCTACAATCGCGGATATATACCTTCCCATTCTACCGCATATCTACCCTATCCTAACCACCCCCATCTACCTTGTTTCTCCTCACATAGCCATCGTAGGGATCGCGCCATCGCTTCTCAAGCGACCACGCCGACGCCGGATTAAAAGGATCTCCTCCACGGCTCCTCCCATCTTCGATTGCAGTCCCTCCCATCTTCGATTGTAGTGCTGATTATTTTTCGATTTCCGAAGAGATTGGGAAATCCAGCTTTTGCCATAGTTGAGTAGTTCTGGTGTAATTGGAGTACAGGATGTCATGCAAGAGCTTTTTGACTGATAGTTTGTAGTAGTTGATTGTACTAACTGGTTATGAATATATTTTCTCGGTGGTATTGTTAGGAATTAGTTGGATGAGGTTGTGGATACAGTTTTCATACTATGGGTATATGTGTTGCTGTAGGGACCATGGTCTCAGAGGCGCGTAACAACCGTGCGGAGTACGACAAGTCTTTGCATGAAGCGCGCTGGGAGATCGACTTGAAGGTGCAAAAGGATCGCGATGATGTAGATAAGAAACTCAAAAAAGAACGTTCATACGTGGACAGGATGATAAAGGAGGAGCGCGAGGAGTTTTCTCGTAAGATGGCGAAGATGCGTCTTGAGATTGAAGAAAAGTATAAGCGGGACTGTAAGGACATGGAAAAAAAGTTTTTTCTTGGCTAGAAGGAAATGCATCAAATGTTGCAGAAG